GCGGGGGGTCGGTCTCTTCTCCCAAGTGACAAGCGACAGGACAAGAGGAAACAGCCTCAAGCTGTGCCAGGGCAGGTTTAGATGGGATATTAGGGAAAATGTTTTCACAGAAAGGGCCGTCGGGCATTGGACGGGGCTGCCTGGGGAGGTGGTAGAGTCACCATCCCTGGAGGGATTTAAGAGGTGTGCAGATGAGCTGCTGAGGGAGCTGGTTTAGTGGAGGACTCGGCAGTTCTGGGTTAATTGTAAACTTGATGATCTCAAAGGTCTTTTCCAACCTAAGGAGTCTATGATTCTGTGTTTCTGTGATTGTCTGCATCCTTGTCTTCCAGTCTAACCGTAACAGCAAGTCGTGATTTGCTCTTGATCCTGATACAAAATCTGTATCCCTCCCAGCCAGCAAGCTAGGCTGGGTGGGATTAATAACAGTGATGTTAAAATCACCCGGAGTTTTCTCTGCACTGTGCATGTGGTTCTTTAAGCAAAATAGATTTCTGTGCATACCAGTACTAATGTATTTTCCCAAGGTGCCCCCTTACGCTGGCAAAGGTGGTTCTGAGGCTTCCTGCCTAGTGGGCAGACTGATGCCTGTGTCCTGGGCCCTGCTCAAGTTGGTGTGGCCAGAGAATGGCAGCTGTTCCCCAAAATCAGCTTGGAAGAAGTTCTAGCGATACTCAGGAAAATAAAAGATTAGGAAAATCCTGAATGCCAGGCATTCAGGAGGATCCCTGATTGCAAAAGATGCATTTAAAAATAAACTTATACAAGCAGCAGAGCGAGAGAAGGAAGGTGGTGGTGTAGGAAAGTGTGGGAAGTCAACACAAGACCTAGTGTAAGAGGAAGGCGGTCTTGGTTTACAAGTAGGCAGATTTTACTTGTCATTCTCTCGGCGCTTTCGCATGCCCTCTTACGAGCATCTGCCACCTGTGCTGTCCATATGGCCTGCCCAGGGACTCTTACAGGAGGATGAAGGATGCTTGGACACGTCTCTTGTGCTTCTTAGGAGTCACTAATTAGTATGGAGTGGTCCTTTTGGCTTGGGATCTTACTTGATCCTCCACAAATCCCAGGCACTGCCTCTGTTTCTTCAGTTTGAGTGTTTTTTTAGCACAGATTTTAGTAAGGCCCTGTCCCTCACAACATCCTTCTGGACAAGCTGTGGGATGAGCAGGTTCACGGCACGCTGGGTGAAGAGCTGGCTGGAGGACAGAGCTCCAGAGGGCTGCAGTGAGTGGGGCTGCGTGTGGCTGAACCGGTGAGCAGCCGTGTTCCTCAGGCTCCGGCCTAGGACCAGCGCTGTTAAGGATTTGTATCAGTGATCCGGATGCAGGAGTTGATGGCACTCTTAGCAATTTTCCTGATGATACCAAATACACAGGGTCTGTCTGGTTTGGAGACGGGGGGGCGACCTCATTGCTCTCTGCAGCTTCCTGGGGAGGAGACGTGGAGAGGGAGGTGCTGAGCTCTTCTCCCTGGCATACGATCAGACCCGTGGGAATGGCTCAAAGCGGCACCAGCACAGGCTCAGACTGGACAGGAGGAAGCATTTCTTTACTGAGGCGGTGCTCAAACCCTGGAACTGGCTTCCTGGAGAGGTGGTCGATGCCCCCAGCCTGACAGCGTTTAGGAGGGGTTTGGACAATAACAAGCTCTAACTTTTGGTCAGTTCTGAGGTGGACACGTCATCAGTTGGACTAGATGATCGTTCCAGGCCCCTTCCAACTTAAATAGTCTATTTAAAGGGGTGAGTTACTACAGTCTGTTTGAGATGACAGGAGAGATTGTCATTTACAGTTGGGTGTACAAAACCTCATTGTCACCCTTTGTTATCAGAGAGCAGGCCAAGCCATCTGCTCGTGAGTCACCTTCTAGTCTCTGTGTTTGCGAGCCACATCCGTATTTCCCGACGCATGCCGCTCTCAACCCAGGCTGTTGTATCCCAATGAGGCAGGTGGTTGGGAAAAGCCCAGGGGTTTGCCAGTGGTAAATCGTGTTACTAACCTGTCCACCTTCTACAACAAAATAACGTTTTCTGATCTTCATCTCGCGGTGCGAACGATGCCGTCGTTAGCAAAGAGAAGAGGGAATGCGACATGCAGCCAGCCTGTGCTGCCTGTGTATCCCGTGATGCAAAAATAGGGAAAACCCGTGATGTTGCTAGAGAAGAAATTCACAGGATTTGCTTTCTGCCAAGTTAAGCCGATGCAGCTTGTTCTTTCCGGATCAGGCTGTTTATATTCTCTGCCTTTTTCCTATGCCGTTCTTTCTCCTTTTTTCCCCCCAACCCACTGACCATAATCGTTTAAAATACAGGTTTTACATGTGAATGGTGCTTTTTGGGAAGCGGAACTTTCCATCCTTCTTTTGTTTTCAGCTACATATGTTGCTAGGGAGGGAGCCGGGGCTTGCGGATAACCTAGTGCTGTGGCCAGGGAAAGTGGCACAGCTACGTTTAGCCATCTTCTTTACACGAGAAGATCCTTAAGCTCAATGTAAGTTCACTCTTTCAGCTGAACAATTACCCTGAGGGACTAGAATAGAGGAGCTATCGTAGGGTTATTTATAGTACCTTTCCTAGAGCTGAAATGCCAGTATTCTTCTCTTCCACATTCTCAGTGATGCTTTCAAATGTGGTTCCATGTTGGATGTAGAGACCGGATGGGTGCCTGTATGTGTGCGTGTTTTATAAAGAATCATGGTGATAGGAACTCCTTCTCCAAAACTCTGGGGTTTTTTTCTGTGACAGACTTAAATATTAGAATGATATGGGTGCTCAGCACGTTGAAGCAGTGGTTTTCTGGCACAGTGTGGAGGCACTTGACTCTCTGCGCTGGTTCTGGCTGGGATGGAGTTAATTTTCTTCATAGTAGCTGGTGTGGGGCTGTGTGTTGGGGCTGTGACCAGCGGTGATGGCACAGGGATGTTGTAGCTGTTGGGGAGCAGCGCTTGCACACCTTGGTCTTTGCTGCTTCTCGCGCCCCCCACCGGTGAGTGGGCTGGGGGACGAGGTGTTGGGAGGGCACAGAGCTGGGATAGCTGACCCCAGCTGACCCAAGGGTTATTCCAGACCGTATGGCGTCATGCTGGGCAATAAAACTGGGAGGAAGGAGGAATAGGGGGTGTTCAGGGTTACCATGCCGGTCTTCCCAAGTCACCATTGCGCGTGCTGGAGGCCTGCTTTCCTGGGGCTGGCTGCACGCCTGCCTGCCTGCAATGGGAAGTAGTGAGCAAACGCCCCTTGCTTTGCTTGGGCACGTGGCTTTTTACCTGTTAAACTGCCTTTACTTCAACCTATGAGCTTTTGCGCTTTTACCCCTCTGTTCTCCTCCCCGTCCCGCTGCGGGGTTGTGAGCTGCGTGGGACCAGGCTGCCCGCGGGGGCCGCCCCACAACGCTCTCCCCTAAGGAAGGCGGCGTGTGAAGCGGAGCCAGCGCACAGAGCTGTCAGCTCAGCATCCTGCCCCGGCTAACTCTGCGTCAGCCGCCTGACCTTCGCTGCTGCCCGGCTCGGAGCAGCCCAGCCCCACGTGAAGCCAAGTGCGCGGCCCCGCGTTTTCCTGCGTAACCGAACCTGGCGATTTGTGTAAAACACCCCAGGAGAGAGCACTGAATCAACTGTAAAAAATGATCTTTTGTGATTTGTGGGCTCTATCAGCTCCTGAGCGAGAAACTGCCCGGCTGACGTGTATAATGTAACAGGAGAAAGAACGTTCAACGTGACCCCCCCGCCAGCAGCAGCTGACACCCTGCCGAGAGTAACCCCAGAAATTCTTCGTAAAACAGCGCCTTGGCTCACGTTCTCACAAGAAACTCGAGGAAGGCAACCCTATACCTTGCTAATCTCTCCATCAAATCTCGGTGATTTGAAAAGAAATGCTGTGTATGTGGGCACTCTGAAGGCTGAGCAGCGCAGGCAGAGGATACCAGAACGCTGAGGACTTGGCTCTTGGTGTGGCAGGTGGGGCCACCGGCATACAAGGTTGGCTTGTATGACTCCAGAAAGGTGGCACCGTGGGTGGGGAGGGAAAGGGGACCCTGTCAGGAGGTGCGTGGGAACTGGTAGGGCTACAAAAGATCAAAAGCAACAGGTTAATCCCCTGTTCCAGGCCGGGAGATGTGGTGAAACCCTAAATGAGGAGAGCATCGACTTCATCCCTGGCGTGGGGAGGGGTGAGATTACCCCCCCACACCTCCAGACCTGCGGGACAAATCCCGCTCTCCCGGGGCAATTTGCAGTCGTCAAACCCACTTTGTGAAGTGCTGGTGTAGAGGAGCCTGGGTGGGATCTCAAATCCCTGTGTAACGGGAGTTGCAGTGGTTTAGTAACGCCAGACTGTCGCTCTGTAGGTAAATCATGACCAGAGAACACCAGTTCCGGGGCAGGAGCTCGCTCCCCCAGGGCAGTCTCTCGGCTTTTAACCTCCTGCCGCAGTAATTGCGTGTTACTGAGAGTTTGAAGTCTGAATGTTTTAAGGGGAATTTCCAGTGGGTGAACACCATTCCTGTTTTACGGTTAGCCCTGATTTACTGTTGCCAAACGTGTCTGGCGGGGAATTACGGTCCTAAACCTGCGCGAGCAGTGGAGGAGAGGCAGGGTGGGCGCTGACCCCAGCACCAAGCGAGGTGAGGGTGTGCAGGGTGATGCCCTTCTCTGGCCCCCTGGCACCTTCCCTGGATCCTGCTGTGAGCCCCCCAACCTCCCCCTCCTGCAGCCTGGAGAAAAGGGGTCCCTGCAAAACCGTTGCACGCCCTGTCTCCCGAGGTGGGTGTTTGTACCCGAGTTGGTGTCGTGCCATACCAGCGCTTTCCGTGGCTTATTTAACTTCCACCCACCCCTGGGAACACCTAGCCACTCCCTTTGTCCTCACCTATCCCAGCCCTTTATAGCAGCGGTGGGATGCTGGAAACGCATACGCCAGGAGCCGGGGCAGCCTGTGGCTGAAAGGAGCATTGGGAAGCGATTTGGAGCAGAGCTTTCCAAGCGGGAAGCAGCCAGGCACCATGAAAAGCCCTGGGTGCGCTTCAAGGTAAGGGAAGAGGGAGGTGAACGCAATTAGAAGGGGTTTGTAAGAAGGTCCAGGGCAGCTAATCTCTGTGAATTGTTAATGACCTGTAGAGTTCGTCACGGTTCGCTCCAGGGTAGAGATTAATTTCGCAGGGAATGCTTCTTCCCGCTTCAAAGCATTCCAGGTCTTTTAATTTGAAGGAACCTTGTTAGGTCAACACAGAGGTCTGTTACTTTCAGCTTAAGCCAAGAGGGTTGTCCCAAGCCCCAAAGCATCCATAGTGGCACCTCCAAGCGCCACCCGAGAGGCAGTTTTCTGTGTTTTCTTCCCGCCTGGGAGCTGGGCTGGCACAGGATGGAAAGGCAAGGCAAGCCGAAGCTCTGGCACTGCTGACTGCGCTGGGTTTTGGCAGCTTAGGAGAATTCTGTGTCCAGCAGCGGGCTCCCGAGGGCTCCCTCCAAGGGTTCCCAGGCTGGCCGCACGTCTTGCGTGCTTGGCTACCTTCTGTGCGACGTTGGAGTTGTGGCTTTCTCGCTTGAGCTTTGCTCTGCAAATGACAGTATTAACGAGGGGATAAAAGGTAGATGTGGGCTCTGGCGGTACCCTGCGACACTCGCTGTTTCGGGCTGAACGTGCCGCAGGCAAAATGCTTCCCCGATGCCGTGCCAGGAAGGAGGGGGAGGTGTGAGGGTGGCTTCGTGGCATCCTGCTGGCTGGAGGTAGCCAGACACCTGGTCACAGACTCGCAGCCTTGTGACAGAGGGGTGTGCGACACTCGGGGAACAGCCTTTGAGGGCACTGCTGGCTCTCTCCAAGGTGGGCAGTGGAACAGGTGGTGAAACCCCGTGTGCAGGTTTGCAGGAGGTGCTGAACCCACTAACAGCCCCTTCGAGCATGGCCATGGGTGGCTGAGCCCCGGGGGGCAACGAGGGCAGGACCCCTGCAGTGACCAGGACTCCTGGTCTCTGTTTTCCCGCGCTCCTCCCCCAGGGATCCCCTTGATCCCTGCCCTTGGCCCTTCCCCTGAACACCTCCATCCCTCACCTTTGGGCTGAAGTGCAGTGGGGTGAAGGTGGCTGCAGTCTCCTCCCCGTCCCCACTCCCTGCTCGCTCCCTGCGCTGGAAGGCAGAGACCTTCCCACCCGTCCATCCCCCGGCAGGAGAACAAGCGCCGTGCCGCGGGGTAGCGTTTGGCACCCCCGGGACAAGAAGCCCCTCATTTCTGCATTTGGTCCACGTGCCAAAGAAATTGGTCGCTCTTTCTCCTTAAAACTGTGGGTTCCAGGGAGCTGACGGGTTTTGGCGAGCCCAGCGCAGGCTGGGCAGCCTTCGCTCGCAGCAACGGCTTGGACACTGCTCTGCGGCAGGTTGCTGTTGTCTTCAGGACGGTGCCACGAGGAGCGGGGTGAGCTCGGCACGGCCCCTCGGGGCTCGCTGGTGGCCCGTTTGTGTGCACAGCTTGCCCACGGGGCATCGGCACTGCAGTCCCTTGTGCTGCGCCCACAACGCTTTGAGGCTTTACGTGCCCCAAATCCATGCCCGTAATCCCTTCCCGTGTCTCCGGGTGCAAAAGCCAGCTGTTGCTGGGGGATTTGGAAGCGTGTCCAGACAAATCGGGTCTGCTGGGAGCATCCAGTTACCATCCCACTGGAGATGGGCTCGGTGGGCTGCGTGTGTTTGAAGAACTGGGGGCAGGGTGGCACTGTGTAATCCCTTAGGGAACAACTGTTAGGATATGGTGGGACGCCTTGGGGTGATACGGTGTGGGGGTCTACGGACCCTGTCTTCTTGCAGTAGAAGGGCCTGGTAATCCTTCAGGAGTGTGTTGTGATCCCGCTCTATCTTCAGGACTGGTTTAGGCATATGCCGATTTGTTTGCCCCCTAAAACATAAATCTGAGGTGCTGTTTTGGGGACACCACCCAAACGAATGCGTGGACCATTACCCCACGCATCACAGAGAAGGTGCAGGAGGAGGATGTCCCCAGACTGGCCTAGGAATGACCTCCAGGCAGGCAGGGTGACAGAAAACCGTCACAAAATGTCAGGTTCGGTCTAAATGAAGGACGAATTGAACGGGCAGGGGCTGCGTTTGGCAGATGTGTGCCTGCTTGCTGCCTGCGGGGCCCTCTGCGTTTCTCCCCCTGTCTCATCCCTGCTCACACATGTAGAGCGGCCAGAGGAAAGGGGGTTGTCTCACCCCCATCCCCCTAACAGGCCTGGGACCTAAACTTTAGGAATACCGATGAAAGACTGCCGATAGCGGTCTGGAAACTCTTCATGCAAAGGCTGAGCTGCAGATTCACATCAGGGGTTGGCACCAGCTGTGGCTGAGGGTCTCCCCTGGCTTTGGGAAGGGCTCTTCTGCCTAAGGATTTCCCGCTTCAGCTGGGCTGCGTCGGACAGGGAGAGCGCTCTCATGCAGACCAAAGCTTGAAGCCAAAGTGGTCTGGGGCAGGTTTGCCTGGCGAGCAAAGTCCCCTTCTCTGCAGTGCCATCGCGGCGTTGGGCCGCGCTTCCGGTGCGCTCAGTTCGTGGCTCCCCGATCCTCGCTAGCGCAGCTGCCCACCAGAGCTGTGGTTTTGCATACAGCTCTTTGTGTTCTGTCAGACTTTGCTCCCATCCTCTCTCCGGTTTTCCCTGGCCAGATCCAGGCTGTCGCGTCCTGGCTTCTCAGCCTGTGGTCAGTCAGTGGGAGGCTGTAGACTGTGCCCGGTAAAGCTGGCGGGTGCGCTCTCCTAAGGCCAGCTGGAAGGAGCGATTGTCTTCCACGTGGTACAAGCTGGAGGCTATGAAAGCCATTGCCCTGTGCAGCAGGACCACGTTGGAGGACCCCTGGGCCAGCGGGACAGTAGAAAGGACCACCAGGTCCAGTCGTTGGCAAACCATGTGGCCCCATCGACCCTCGGACTGGCCAGGCTTTGAGCCTTCCTTGCTCGCTTGGGAGCATGGGGACCACGAGTTGGGACCATCCCGTGCTGTAAATGGAACTCCATCTCTCCTCGTAACGACTTCAAGGCCCAGCCAGATCTGCTGCATTTTGGAAATGGTGGCTGAAAACGTGGAATTCACAGTGAGTTAAAAAGGCTTTTAGGGTCAGGGAAGTCAGCTCAAGCTTGGTGATGAAAAGATCCTTTTTGGTGGGCATCAAACCTTCGGAAGGTCCTGTACCTGCCCCAGCCAGGATGCAGTGGTGATGGTACGTGGTGGTGGCCTAATTAGTGCTGGAAAAGCCTCGCCCCTCATCGTCACCCGGGCAGAGCACGGGTAGGTGAGGGGCTTGGTGCAGAGGGCTGTCTCAGCACGCGGGCAGCGTAAAGGTCTACGGGGTGAGAGATCTGGTGGAAGGGTGACCCGGGTGAGGCTGAGCACAAGAGCGGGGCTGGGAGGAGGAGCTGTCGCAGCGGGGAAGTGGTCCTCTTGTTTGATAGTGGGGTGTAAGTAGTCCATTACAGGTGCTCTTCGGTTATTGATCTGTTTTCTGTACTGAAAAATCTCAGTTCCATTAAAAAAAAAAAAAACACCACACCAGTTTAGCATTTCTATGAAATCCCCATCTTCTAGAATGATGTGATGCAGGAGCCACTCTGCTTTCTCTTTAAGGAAACCCGTATGCCCCTACAAAGGGCTCATTTTCTAGTGAATAAACTGGGAGTTTGAATAGTGAATAAGCTCTAAAGCCCCAGAAAACCAAAAGAAAAGCAAAATAAAAGGCAGCAGAGCGGGAGGCTGTTGGAAGAGCTTAGGCTCTGCCTGATGAAGGCTGTGTCTTGCCAAAGGCTAAAATCAGGGGAGTGATAGTGAAAGTGCAGTTTCTCCCTGTTCCACCCCTAATGCCAGCGCTGCCGACAGAGCTGGGAGAGCCAACAATGGCTGGCACCACGGAGACACCCGGTTTTGCTCCCGGTGATAAAAATACCCAGGGCAATATGCAAAGTTCTGTGTTTCACATTCAGTGAAGGACTGTCGAATAAAAAATTCCACTGAAACTCTCCTCTCTTTCCAGGCATTTCAGATGTCACATCATTTTCAGCCTCTGCCTGGGACTCATCTTCCTGTCAGGATTCTTCCATGTGAAGAACAAAAATTACCTGTAAGTGAAGCAGAAGCAGGGTTGCAGGACTTGGTCTGCCCAGGGTGGCAAGGATCCTGTGACACCTAACTCTCATGAGGTTTGGGCTAATCCTGGAAGGGCAGTGGCCCCTGGTTTGCTCCTGGATCCACGTTCAGGCAGGCAAGGAATCAAATTAGCCCGAGTGCAGCTCTTTGGAGCAAAATGAGCAGTATGGAAAAGGGGATCGAGCTGAAGCCTTTGGGCAAGTGAGGACGTGGAGAAGCAGAAAGGTGACACCTGTGCCTGAGGGACGGGGGTTGTGTGGGGCGGTGCCTTGCACCAGGCACAGTGTCAGACGGAGAACCTGCCGGGGTTTGGCTTTGTCAGGTCTCAGAGGTGGGGTACGGGACTGGCGAGGTTGTTTTCCCCATCTGTTGCCTTCTTGCAGGATCGTGAAGAGCCACAAGGAGCTGCTGATGTCTTCCACGCCTTGCCGTGCCAAGACTAACGTCATGTTCCTCAAGACCCACAAGACAGCCAGCAGCACCGTCCTGAACATCATGTTCAGGTTCGCGGAGAGGTACAACCTCACCGTCGCCCTCCCGGCTGGCCAGCTCGTCCACCTGGGCTACCCGAAGACCTTCCTGGCCCACTTTGTGGAGGGATTTCAAACCATAGGACAACACTACAACATCATGTGCAACCACCTGAGGTTTAACCTCTCGGAGGTAAGCAAGAGCCACGACAGCCGCAGAGAAGCCTGGTTGAAGAAGAAGTGCCTTGGGACTAACAGCCTCTCTTCTTCCTCCCCGCAAATAGGTGCAGAAGGTGATGGCAGTCAACACCTTCTACTTCTCCATCCTGAGGAACCCCATTCCTCTGCTGGAGTCTTCCTACGTCTACTACAAGGACAACGTTCCTGCCTTCAGGATCTCCAAGGACGTGAACGAGTACCTAACGTCACCCACCAAGTATTACCGTTCAGCGGATTACAAGCAGAACATCTACGCCAGGAACATCATGTGGTTCGACTTTGGCTACGACAACAATGCGGAGGACAACAAGGAGTACACCCAGGAGGTCTTGAAGGAGATCGAGCAGAACTTCCACCTGATCTTGATAGCGGACTACTTTGATGAGTCCATGATCCTCCTGAAGCACGCTTTGTGCTGGGATCTGGATGACGTCATTTACTTCAAGCTCAATTCCAGAAGCCAGGACACTGTCCAGACCTTGACTCCGGAAAGCGAGGAGCGGATAAAGGAGTGGTGCTCGCTGGACTGGAAGCTCTACCTGCACTTCAACCAGAGCTTCTGGAGGAGGATTGAGGAGACCATAGGACTCGAGGAGCTGGAGAAGGAGGTGAATCACCTGCGGATGAGGCAGAAGGAACTCATGGAGACCTGTCTCTCGGACCAGGAGGCTGTGATGAAGGATCACATCAAGAACAAGGCTCTCCTGCCTTTCCAGTCAGGGGCTGCAAATATCCTCGGGTACAACCTCAAACAAGCCTTGGACAACAGGACTCTGAGAACCTGCCAGAAGATGGTTATGCCGGAGCTGCAGTACACGTCCCATCTCTACGCCGTTCAACACCCGCACAGGAGGAGGAAGCGGTTAGGCTTGCCCGTGCTGCAGACCAAGCTACAGGGGAAGATGCAGCTCCCAACTCCCAACTCGGGCACGTGACAACCCATTGCTGTTTCCCATGGCTCGGGGCCGGCCCGTGGGACTGTGACATGAGGGAGGGGTGGGGGGTGAGGCGTGGGGGCTTGTTCAGGGCCAACGAGCGGGTGGTGTGTCCCTTGTTGGAAACCTTGAGCCAAAGGCTTTGCATTGGCCGGATCCTGTGTGATCCCTCCTCCCCACTTCCAGGCAGGGGGACAGCCCGCTGCTGCAGGCTTTCAGCTGGCTTAGACATTCCTGCCTCTTAATAATTAATCACAGGCTTAATCATTTTGTTTGCATTCGACTTCATTTAATAGCCGTCATTACGCCCGGGCTGGTCACAGCTCGCTGGAGCAAGTCCTGATTTTTGGTGTTTAGGGGGAAGAAAGGGAGGGGGAGGAAAACGAGGAGGAGAGCGTGATGAGGGGATGCAGGGCTTGAAGGCGCAAGAGAGACATCGGGAGGACCCGTTTTGTGGTTTCATCCCTCTCCTTTGGGCAAGGGGTCCCTGGGCATGGATGGTCCCTTGGGCTCAGCATCCCTGAAGCCCTTTACCAGCAGAGGCTTCGTGGGGTCCCCCCTCGCTGTGTTGGCCAAACCCTCCAACACCGATAGGAGAGGGGTGGAGGGAGGCGTGGCCGCTGCTCGTTTAGGGCACGACCTCATGATCAGAGGAGGTAATAAGGCCTGGCTGGGGCACCTTTGCTCGTTGGCCAGCTCCCTGCTGCCGCGCCAGTG